AGAAAGAAAAGGAGGAGCAGGCTCAGAAGGAGAAGCAAAAGAAAGAAGAGGAGGAGCGAAAGAAGCAGAAGGCAAAGAAGGATGACGAGAGTGAGAGTGAAAGCGAGCAAAGCAAAGAGGACCCTACAAGCTCTTCAGATGAGGAAAGTGGATCTGAGGCAAGCGACAATGAAGATGAGAGTGAGAATGAGAGCAAGAATGAGAAGGGTTCCAGTGACAGTGAAGAGGAGAATGAGAGCGAGGGTGAGGCAGAGGAGAGCAAAGAAGGGAAGAGTGACTCACCAAAGAGCATTCTAAAGAATGGCAAGGATAAAGAATCCGAGAAGTCAGATGAGGAAGATGGCAGCCAGGCATCATCTGATGATGAGGAAGATGAAGGCAGCGAAGAAGGTGAAGATGAGGACAGCGAGGAAGAACAGGGTGAAGATGAAGATGAGGAGGAGGAGGAGGAACCAGTGAAAAAGGAGAAGGGCAAGAAGGACATGAAGAGGGGAAGATCCAGCAAAGAGAAGAGCAAAGGCAAGAAGGGCAAGAAAGAGAAAAAGGATAAGAAAGAGAAGGAGGTAGAGGAGGAGGAGGCTGAAGGAAAGAAGAGAAAAGCAGCCAACGAGAAGCAGAATGAGGCAAAGAAACCAAAGGGGCTCGCAGATGCTGAGAAGGGAGCTAACAAGTGGAATGCCACCAACCAGCGGGCAAAGTGGCAAAAGTTCGGAAGGTGGCTCAAAAACAAAAAGCGCTGTCCAGCCAAGATCATCGCAGCTTGCAAGACGGAGGCTGGGCACCTGGGCCACCTTCTTTCCCTATTTTTCATTTTTTTCATATATCTACATATATATATATATTGATATTTGGGCTATGAGGTCAAAGGTTCCTTCACATTCCCATCCTTTGGTTCAAATCAGTATCTCCCACTATCATGCACTGCAGGAGACCCGGAACTCCTTGTTCAACCACTTCGTCGACTCCGACGGTGTGTTTGCTGAGGTGGAGGCCAAATTCGAGTTGTCTCTTCAGGAGGCCCAAAGGTCAAAGGTGAAGTATGGCTTCAAAGGCCAGCAGTGGCTAGAGACTACACATGGTCCCAAGAAAGCTGCTAAGATCATGGAGCGTAAGGCACGTTTGGGGTTGAACCTCGTCCTGACGTGTCGACCAACTTCTCACCCAGCCTTCATGTATCTTGTAGACGATCTTAAGGGCTCGCACTCCAAGCGCCTGGAACGTAAGGACCATGGATGACCCGGAGCTTCCCGGAGAGAACGAGAAGCTATACTTTGTTCTCATCGATCTTGACATCACGGACACCAAGGAGTTGCGCCGGGTGGTGCGATTGGAGATGAGTGGGTCCCTGGACCAAGATGGCCTAAAGGCCTTTGTTGAAGCACCTTAGCAACAAAGTTAGTGTTTCAGAACTAAACTGGTCGCACTAGTCAGGCAGACCTAATCAGTTTCCAAAACTAGACTGGTCGCACCTACAATCAGATCTAATCACCTTTTGCTTAGGCTGGTGGATGCTTGGATGGCAAGCAGCATCTTGGTCTTGGGCAAATGGTAGGAGCTGAGGGCATGCAGAAGCTGCTGGATTCGACCGGGTCGAACAAAAGGAAACTTGAAAAGGACAAACCAAAGAAGGAGAAGAAGGTAGGATATCACATCCCATTTTGTGTGTAGTGTGTATCTTGTTGTGTCTTCTCATCCATTAAGCCTTTGCCTCAGGTGGTTCCCGAGAGCCCCCCTGGAGAAAGCACAGTCCTTGATTCATAAGATCCTGAAGGATGCAAATGAATGCAGGCTCCTAGGCTGAATAAACCTTCACCCGCTTCACCTGTGTTTGTAAACTCAGTATGGATCTTCTTTTACGCGGTGTGTTTCCCAGGGACTTGGCATTCAAACTACGACCCCATTCCATGGGCAAAGAGCTCACGGACCAATTGCAAGCCTGCGCCGTCAAGTTGAACCAGATGGCAGAATCCTTGCAGTCGAAAGTCCGTGAGAAGCGGAACAAGAACAAGCATTACAGGGATCTCTTGGCCCAGGCAATTCTTTACAAACAGCATTTGGTTTCAGGTATTGCTAACTGAGTCTTCAAACAATCTGGTATACTTTTGGTATACTTTCGACGCTTTTGATGGCCCCCCAACACTCTTGTTGATCAGGTGGATGAGATTCGCAAGCTTGCGTCTGAGCGAGTCAATTTGGCAAAGGCTTTGATTTGTGCAGTGGATAAAAAACCACGAGCAAAGGCTAAGCCTGATCAGAAGCCCGATGAGAAGGGCTCGGGGGCAGAAGAACCCCTGCCCCTCACTGATGGGAAAGCGTAAGCCTTAGATGGGCCCTTTCATTTTGTTCATGCCGGTCACCAAAAGCTTGGACTAGGGCACCAAAAGCCACTTCAGGCTATGACCGTGTGGGGGGACCAGTGGGCCAGAGGTCTATATGAAAATGACTGACCTATACTGCTGCATGCACCTGTTTGTTCGCTTTCGAACATTCATGGTCCCCTGGTCCAGTTTAGTTGCAAAGCAACTTCAATCCATCCAGAGCTTGGGAAGAGCGAGAGCCTTTAGAAAATCAGGTCTATACGTTAGAGAGAAAGCCTTTTAGAAAATCAGCCCTTTACAATGCCTTTAGAAAGCCTATCAGCCTATCTTTTTGAGATTCCCCACATGAAAGAGTAAGCGCCCAGTGAAGCCCAGTCCATACCACCCTCGCAGGAAACGCGATCGCTCCAGACCAAACGCCAGAAGCGCCTCAGCAGCGCAAATTTCAAGTGAAGTTCCAAACATGAGGGTCCGGGTAGTCATGAGGGTATGGTAGTCATGTTTTATGTTTCTTCTATGTCACTTCTATGCTCATCCCTGACCTGATGCTCGATTCTAAGTGATTTCCACGCAGCGTCGGAATCAGCGAAGCAGATTTTGAAGAAGGTGTGCTCCGGAGTTCCGAGGCTGCATCACAACATTCAAAGGGGGTACAAGATCACCATACACGAAATGAGCATCATGGAAGTGTCCTCTTGTCACCCAACAGAAGTCCAACAGAAGTCCAACAATCCTTTGTTTGCGTGAGGCTCTATCAGCTGCTGCTGCTCGTGATGACGCTGCTGATCTAATCAATGATGGATTCTACTGCCCCTTGGCAATGGAGATGTCCCAGTGGTCGAAAGGTCACGAGGAGCGGTCTTTTGCCAGGCCAGTGGGGAGCTGAAATCAAAAAATGTTTGGTTGAGTGATGGTTCAAGTTTATTAATGGGTGACTGTTGAGCCCTGAACCCTCAAGGTGGTGCAAAAAGGTTTGTTCTGTTGCCCCAGACACAGTGGGGATCCCACTGATGATAACTCGTGCGGATGGGGAAGAGGAGGAGATCCTACAGTCAACAACAATACTTTGGCCTTGGGAGTTTTTTGCTCATTTGCACGAAGCTGGGAAACTTCTTCAGTGGATAGCCGACGACCCTGCCACAGCATCTTCACGAACGACAGAGTATTGGGGACATGCATCTGAGTTAGAGTTTTTCGAAAAGCTTGAGCTGGGACGTGAAGAGTTTGGCCACTTTACATACATTGTGATGGGGTAAGGGTATACCGCCATCAAAAGATGTTTATTTACAGCATGTCTTCCGCGTGCAGGAAGGGGCCTTCCATGAGAACCAAGTGGGTATTTATTGTTGTAAGGGAGTCAGAAATCGTCAAACACAAGACTCACGCCTCCATTGCTGCGCTTGTATCGTACATGGTTGAAACTTTGAGAAGTGGTAAATATCCAGAATTGGATTCGCAGGGGTGCAGCTGGCCAGTGGGGTCTGCCAGTGCTTCTCGCGCTGGGAAACCCTTTGAGTTCAATTGGATTATGACCTTTGCAGCTTTCAAGGGTGATTGGGAGGCGAGGCAACAGGTCCACCGCCTCAACAGATATTATGCAACAAAGTACATCTGTGAGCACTGCTGCGCATCGTACGAAGAGCACAACACATTTGGTGATTTCCGCATGAGCGCCAACTGCTTGTCACTACGGTTCACACACGAACAATACTTGATGATGTCTACACCCAGCCCATGGCTTTGTGTCAGGGGTTGGACCAAGGACCGTAATTTAGAAGAGCCTCATCCAGTCAACAAGTTTTCTGTGGAGTGGGGGTTATGTTTTGGCACCTGTGTGACCTTCTTTGTAGTGGGGGTTTTGTTTTGACACCTGTGTGACCTTCTTTGTAGTGGGGGTTTTGTATTTGTTCATGAACTTTGCGTGCGCCTGTGTGACCTCAGGACTTGCTCCACGTACTTCATCAGGGCGTCGCCTGCGTTGTGATCCCTGCGCTGATTTGCAGCGGCCTTGAGAGCAAGCGTCCTAGTTTGACTTTGTCTGAGTTGGATACATTGCTCCGGAGAGAAGTATACTTACACTACAAGGGTTGGTGTCGCACACACGGAAGAAAGTTTACAGCTACATCGTTCAGATTCAATGGGAAGAGGTTTTCCAAGCAGGGTTGGGCTGAGTTTCCGGAGTTGTCAAGCCACTACAAGGCGGCAGTAGTGAAAACCATGATGTTCTGGGCTAGTGACTACATGAAAGACCAGGACCAGGAAGGCAATGTTCCCAACTCAAGACTACGCTGGCTTTGCATGCACTCCTTCGCCAAGTTCCAACATTTGGTAGATCAAGGGGGGCCTTTTTTTGGAGAGCAGGAGATGGCTCTTGTAACGCGCTATGGGCATGCAGCCTTATTGTTTTACCAGGAACTGGCAGGGCATGATCGCGCTCGAACGGATGGACGTCGTGATCTGAAGATCACCCCGAAGTTCCACTCGTTCCTCGAGATGTTACTGTACGTCAGAAAAACAAGACGCAATCCAAGGTTTGGAGATTGAAAGAACTCGCCCAAATTGTGTTTAAAGTGTTTTAAGATATTGGCAAAGGTGTTGTGTGTTCTCTTCAACCCTCTAGGTTCGAACACAATTACCAAGATGAAGATCTAATGCAGCACATTGGCAAGATAGCATCTCAGACCCATACACAAACAATGGCGCCAGTGACATTGGGTCGCTACAGAGCATGGGTGGAACTGTTCCTGTAGACACCACTTCCGGTGCAGAACTGGAGCCCCGACCGGGCACATGGAGCGGGCCGCGCGGCCCATGAAAGAGAAAAAAAACACTGCATGCTTGCTTTGTAGTGTGATGCTATCATGGCTCACCAATGTTAGAGGGCCTCTTCAGTTTCTTTTGTGAGTATGTTTTATGTGGTTGAGCCATGGTCGCTAGGGCGGGTGGGCGGCAAGTCGGAATTCCAAGCAAAGCCAGGGGAGGCCGAAGCCACAAAAGTGGATGAGAACCAACCCTAATAGACTATAGGGGTTGCTAAGATTCCAAGGTTTCCAAAATTCACAGCGACTGGATTGAACGCCTGCTGCTTTCAAAACCTTCGATTTCGATCGCGTTCGGAAGAGTTAACGGTGCATGCCACACAATCCCCAAACATGTCAAAACGACCACAAAGCTGGCAACAGATATTAGCCAGCTTTGAAAGCTTTTTAAACATATATATATATATATAAAATATCAAACATACGTTAGGCTCAAGAACCTCAAGCCCATGTTGTGGTCAAAGTGGTCAAAGTACAGACCTATATTTTCCAGAAGCTGAGGGAGCTCGCCGGCTGGAAATGCACCAGTGATGACGTGTCTACTTATATATGCCAGCAGGCAGCGTTTGTCAGGATAGTCTGTCAAAATTTCTGCGTATATGCGTGCAACCCACGTGCTAGCCATATCTCGCCCACGGCCTAAAGGCTTACCTTGTAAGCCTCCGTGTTGTCATGTTATGAAAGCCTCAACCTATAGCACTCCTGGCGGTCCAGGTTGCTCTGGAGTGGACGGTGAAGACTCCATCGTGGTCGTAGTCCTGGGACGCGTGACCGGTGGTGCAGCGAGCGACGACCCCTCAACCGAGCGACGACGGACATCGCGTGTGCAGTGGTGCTGGAGGAAGGACCTCTACCACGACTGACAGGAACCTCTTCAGGGGAGGACCTAGACCGTTCACCTGGGGGATCATCAGGCGGGGAAAACCCTGTATGGTTCGCCATGGTTCTCACCCAACTGCAGGTGCAGTTATTTTCTCGCTACACGAAGAGTCCTGACCACTCCAGCGCCTTGTAGCAGCTGTTGCGTGGTGAAGAACGAGTGCACTGAAAGAAAATTGTTTGCATGACCTAATGCTCAACTGGAATGACTTGAAAGTATTGAGATTGAAGTTTCACTGCGCTCAACCTATAGTCCTACGAATCACGAACGAAAAGTGACCGCGCAACGCAGCGGGATCATATTAGCTAAGTCTATCAAAACCGAATGGGGTTGGTTAAGGCGCGTAGCGTCGCAGAGGTAGCCATAGCAGCCTGTGCGGCGTACCTCGTTGATGATCTCAGAATCGTCGTCGACGTACGCGCAAATTCCCAATCGGGTGACGATTGGGGTTTTGCCTTCCGGCCCGACTCGGGAGTTGGTAAGAAAGATTCCCCCTCCCATCTGGAGTCCTGCTGCGCGAACGCAGTCACGAAAGTGTGCGGTTTGAGACGCCGCTCTTGCGTAACCTTCATGTCCCGTGAAGGATATGATGGTTATTCTTGCGCCGAGGCGCTCGAGATTGGCAAGAGCATCAACACACTGTCGTGTGGGGACTTCAAGCTTACGCACCAACATTGCATCTAGAACCTTATGGAAATCTAGACCAACCTCGATGTTATGGGCTTGACCTGTAGCGTTAGGGTCATTGGGTCACACATCTGTTGACCGAAGACGTGATTTGCATCTTGCCACAGCTCGAGGTAACGATTGCGAGGGAGTGGCATATCGTCGTCCTGCTGTGGCGGGTTTGGAGGCGGAGGGTCTCCAAAAGTTGGGGGCGCTAAGGTGCCACCACTTGGCTCCGTCTCTGCAGGATCCTCTTCCGCGCGAGGCGCGGTTTCCGAGGGTGCAGGAGGTGGTGGATACCCCTGACCTCTACCTCTGCCGGTTGCCTCCTGAACGACTGTGGCGGGAGCAGGGCTCGAAGACCGCGGTGGTCGTTCAGGCATCGGCTTGGGTTTCGGCACCTGAGCCGCGGGCGGCGGTGGCGGATTTTGGGGGTCCAGGAGGAGGTGTCGTGAAGAATCCGTATGGCAGGAACTCTTCCACCCGACCCGACTCAACGTACTGTGGTCTGCGTTGAGAAGGGGGACGGGGCTGCCCCAGAATCCGTTGGCTCATCGTCCAATTACGATTAGGGGTACGATGAGTTGGATCCACTAGTGGTGTCACAGTTACCGAAGTTCTTGATGGAGACTGGG